CCGACTTAAAATTAGTCGTTCAAAATTCAAAAGGGGACTTAGTATGAAAATAAGCCGTACATCAACTCCAAAGGTTGGGGAAAAAACTGATGCACCAAAAGGAACGATTTCCAACAGTGATAGTTTCAAAGGCAACAAAAGCTATGCAACTGAGTTTAACTGTAAAAGGACTAAAGCAACCTCACAAACAGAACGAGAAATTGAGTACGCCCTTTCATGTGACAATGTGGGTGGCCCTGAAAAGGGCCTTTTGTGAGCAAAATAGGCTAGGTGAAAATATTTAACCTCCGAAGCCATAGAGGGTGCGGCCCTGGCGCTTGAGCGCGTAGACCACGTCCATGGCCGTGACGGTCTTGCGCTTGGCGTGCTCCGTGTAGGTGACCGCGTCGCGGATCACGTTCTCCAGGAACACCTTCAGCACCCCGCGGGTCTCCTCGTAGATGAGGCCGGAGATGCGCTTGACTCCTCCGCGCCGGGCCAGGCGGCGGATGGCGGGCTTGGTGATGCCCTGGATGTTGTCGCGCAGGACCTTCCTGTGGCGCTTGGCGCCTCCTTTGCCCAGGCCTTTCCCGCCCTTGCCGCGACCAGACATTATGCTGCTCTAACTGGAAGCTCAGTACACAATAACTCTATCACGCCCGCTTCTTAGCTTTTATAATACCAAGGCGGACCTGTTTGAAAACCTCAAGAACAGGGGCGGAAACCACTGTCAATTACGGCCCTTCTGTGCGTTTGTCCAATGAAAGGCTGGAGGCGGGACCTGAGACAACAGTAAAGACAAGAGTTAAAATTTAACACATTGTATTAAGTATGTCTATACAATTTGTTCTGCCTTCAATAGGGATAACTATATCTATTAGCAACAAATAAGTTTGGCATTTGTTGCTCATTTCACTAAATAGTAAGTAATACATTATCAGTCCTCCAAGTCACCGTGGTTCTCAACCTGTGGGTCGCCACCCGGATCTATATCACTTATTTATATCAGATTTTTCCATCGTTACAGTTACGAAAGAACAACGAAAATAATTTTAGGGTTGGGGGTTCAGCACAGCATGGGAACTGTATTAAAGGGTCTAGGCATTAAAAAAAGTTGAGAGCCACTGTGTCTAAGTTTTAAGTACAGTTTTAAGAACACATACATTGTTTCAGGTTCGAAGACTTGTACTGATTTAGGTAATCTGAGCAGTGTTCTTTAGCATGCAGATTGACCAAGGGGAAGTAAAAGCTCAGATCGTTACAGGTCTAGCGGTCTAAAATTAAAAGATGAATTCCCACAGGTGTGAATCTTCTACATGATTTACACATAGAAATTAGGGGATCTGGAAATGAGGACCGTGGGGAGGTTCTATTTTTATATCGCCTTCATTGACCCAGAATTCCCTGTGTATATGTTTTAGTCAACAAACATTACATGCTTGTTGAGATGAAAATCGTGTTAATAATGATTTACTGGAAATGTGTAAGAGTCTGTGAATGAATGGTTCTACTATTATCTTTGTCCTTCAATTATTCTTACAGAATTCTTTGAAAAGAAATAGTAAAACTAGGTTTCAGACCTCTTAGGGTTACACTTGAAACTTTATGCAGATTAAATCAAGTATATATCTTGAATAATGCAGAGATGTCTAGAAGGACATGGTGTGAATATCCTCTATGTATAAATAGATTCTCCTTCTTAATCAGCTTTGAAATTCTTCAAGATAGACAGGAGAGTGCCAGTGACACTGGCCTTACTGCTCCAGGAGATTGAGTCTCTGTCCATTCTTCCACTCTGCTTTGTGAGGTATGGAAGATTGTTATCCTCCAGGCCAGGCTAGCCTCCAGTTTACTATAGCTGAGGCTGGCCTCAAATGCCTGGTCCTCCTGTATGTACCTGCTGAGTTCTGAGATTACTGTCATGTGCGGCCATGCTGGGCCCTCTTGCATGTTTATTAATAAAATATATCCTTTTCTAAAAAAAAAAAAAGATTGTTATCCTAATTTTATAGTCCCTTTTCTTGGTCTTATGAGTATATGGATCTCTTCATTTCTCCTCTTTGATAAGCGATGCACTATCTTCTGTATGAGTACAGAAGAATCAATCCCATGTCCAAATTGTTTAAATCGACCAAACACAGAGAGACTATAGGAAATGTCATATCCTTTCATTTTCTTATAAGCAGGATTATCTATACCTAGGAACAATGAACAATAGATTGTTTATACTGGTCAACACAAGGGTGTTTCCCTAAGGATTCCACATTTTTGTATTCAGGAGCAAAGAGTTTAGCAGATACACACAGTTGTGGCAAAAGTAGGAACAGTTTATTAGGATAAGTATATCCTATGGAAGAAGCAGAACAGAGCAAAAAAAAAAAAAAAAACAAAACCGTGCAGCCCCTCAAAAGCCTACTATAAGCCGGACGGTGGTGGCACACGCCTTTAATCCAGGCACTTGGGAGGGAGAGGCAGGCGGATCTCTGTGAGTTCGAGACCAGCCTGGTCTAAAAGAGCTAATTCCAGGACAGGCTCCAAAACCACAGAGAAACCCTGTTTCGAAAAAGAAAAAAAGAAAAAAAAAGCCTACTATACAAAGGGTGGAGGGGTGTATCTCATCAGTAGCTCTGGGGTCATCTGCAGACTTGAGTTTTCTCGCTGTACTGTTCCAGTTTTCCAGCTTCCTACATTGCCTGTCTCAATTAGTATCCCAAATCAAGGCCATAAGTGTGTTTTTAGGTACCCTTAAGACTTTATAAAGTGCCCTTCTCTTTCAAGAGTGACAGATGTGGTGAGGACTGAAATATGTTCCAAATACCCTCAGAACCAACTTGAGGTTTTTTGTTTGGGTTTCTTTTACTTGTATGCTAATTTTTCAGATTTGGGCCAAGGTCTTCTCAACTTCTCTCTCTACCATATCTCCAGTCACAGCACAACCACGATTCCTAGAAAACCTAAATAGTGACAGATGAACTCAGTGAAAATTCACCAGATGTGACAGATCGCATCTGGTGACAAAAAGAAAGCCATTAAAATGATTGTTCTTGTCCAATAGAATTTTCATATCAAAAGAAGTAAGGGGTATCTGTTATTGTAATGATTGTGTGGAATTAATGAAAAAGCTTATTTTTAAAATACAAGCGTGACCCATTCCTCCTTCCAACCTTGATGGAGAAGAGGGTGCCTGGTCTCACTGCAGCTGAATATACCATGGCTGACTGATGTCTATGGGATGCCTGCCTGTATGTAAATAGAAATGGAGGAGGAATGGATGCAGCGCAGGATGAGGTGGCACTGGGAAGAGGGGAGGGAGGCGAACTTTGGTTTTTAAAGGGAAGGGGGAAAACACAAATAAAAAATCGTTCAATATAGAAAAAAAATACAAAGCTCAAGGAAAACCCAAATAGCTGTTTGGGGTCTGAAAATCCTAAAATGTGTTTTTGACTGGAGAGCCCACAATTAAAAACATGAGCAGAATTTTTTTTTAAATAATAAGTTTCCTCTTGGTTCAGTGGAAGACTCAAGGACCTTGATAAAGGCTCTCTTGGTTTGCTTTCTATTGTTATGATAAAACAATGACCAAAACCAATTTGTGGAGGAAAGGGTTTATTTGACTAACAATTCCCCAGCACAGTCCATCACTGAGAGACATCAGAGCAGGAATGTTGAGACAGAAACAGAATCAGAGATCATGGAGGAAAACTGCTTATTGGCTTGCTCAGCCTAAGCCCTTGATCGTGTGCCCCGGGCATGGCAGCACCTACTGTGAGCTGTGCTGTCCCACATCAATTATTGATCAAGAAAATGTCCTAGAGATGTGCCTACAGGCTATTCTGATGGTATTTCTTTTTTATGTGTTTGTTTTGTTGTTGTGGATACCGTTGTTGTTTTATTTGTTTTTCTGGGTGTTTGTGAGACAGGGTTTCTCAGTAGCTATAGAGCCAGTTCAGGAACTGCCCTGTGGAGCAGGCTGGCCTTGAGCTCAGAGAGATCCACCTGTCTCTGACTGAGAATGACTAAGGTATTTCTTTGGATGAGCTTCCTTCTGCACAAGTGACCTTTGTTTGGGTCAAGTTGAACAAAAATATCCAAAGAACTGTTAAACACTTGAGAAATAAAACATGAGGATCTCGATATCAAAACTGCAGCAATCCAGAGTAAAAGCCAGTGTTCTTCCTTAGAATTTTCACTTCTTTTAATTTTCTATTGTTTTTATTTTTAATTATATATAGTTATGTGTCTATGGTTGGTAACGTGCAGGAGAGTACGGGTGCCACAGGATCCAAGGCGCACAGGATCCCCAAGGAGTGGGAACCATAGGCAACTGGGGATGAGATGAACTGTCATGAAACCAAGCAGAGTCCTCTGCCAAAGCTTAACAAAGACATCTCTCTAGCCTTTCTTTTGAGACAAGATAACTACCCCAGATAAGAACTAGAATTCATTTTGTATCCCAAGTTGGTTTCCAACTTTCAATTTCCCTGCCTCACAACAGTGGCCAGTGTGCGTCTCTATGCTAAAACTATTGTCTTTAGCCCGAATTATAACCCATTCCGGAACTGTAACACTGTTCTAGAATGAAAAAAGCTGGGAGCCTACCTGAAAGCAGGAGGGCCTCAATTCTTGAAGTGCACACTTCGGACTGCCAGCTAAACAAGTTATCACCCAAGACAAGGCCTCAAAAACGCCACAGCTCAACGTCCTTCCAGAACTGCCTATTTCAAGAAATGTGGCCGGTATTTAGCCACGGCGAAAAGGAACCGGAGTTGGAATATAGAATTGGGACGGTACATAAATTTAGAGGATAAGGGGATTCATAACCAAGGCAGAGTCCCGACTTTGCTCCAAAGCCTACACTTAACTAAAAAGGCCAAGTAAAAAGAAACTGAAGCACAAACGTGGGCTCACATAGGGTAAAAGTAATACAAAAGGGAATAAGTACAGCAACTACAATGTTAAAAAATATGCAGAGGCCAAGAGACTAGGATGTCTAAAATCTTAACACTTTACAGGCCGTAAAAATGCCCAATCATAGGTTACCAGCTGACAAAGGAGGTACATACTCTTTTACAGAAAATGTGGGTGGCTCTGAAAAGAGCCGTTGGGTTCAGCTTTGCATTCAGTGGCCTTTATGCCCTTTCCCCGCGGATGCGGCGGGCCAGCTGGATGTCCTTGGGCATGATGGTGACGCGCTTGGCGTGGATGGCGCACAGGTTGGTGTCCTCAAACAGACCCACCAGGTAGGCCTCGCAGGCCTCCTGGAGAGCCATGACGGCAGAGCTCTGGAAGCGCAGGTCGGTCTTGAAGTCCTGCGCGATCTCGCGCACCAGACGCTGGAACGGCAGCTTGCGGATCAGCAGCTCGGTCGACTTCTGGTAGCGCCGGATCTCGCGCAGCGCCACGGTGCCGGGCCGGTAGCGGTGGGGCTTCTTCACGCCGCCGGTGGCCGGGGCGCTCTTGCGGGCGGCCTTGGTGGCCAGCTGCTTGCGCGGGGCCTTGCCGCCGGTGGACTTGCGAGCGGTCTGCTTTGTACGAGCCATAGCTTAAAGAAAAGCAGATAAAATTTTGGCAAAGCCTAATGCTCCGTTGCTGGAGTACGTATATATAAGGCGAGCGAGCCCCGTTTTCATTGGCGCACACAGGAAAATTAGCACGGGACCCTTATTGGTAGCTCTGTTCACATCACTGTCCAGTACCCGCCCTGTTCATTTTAATATGTTCCCTTGATTGGTTTTCCACTTTAAGTCGATACTGTTCTTTTAGCTTGCACAGAAAAATAGTACTACCCAGTTTCCTTCAAAATAATTATTACTTATTAGGATACAAGTTGTTTGCCTCCTAAATTTTTTTAGAGTGAGTCCGAAACGTAATTTTTGGAAAGGCACCGGCTGTGAGTAATTGATCAAGTAATTTGATAGTGTTTTTTCCTTCTACAAAAAGAAAAGATTCACATCAAAATCAAAAGCTAATTGAACTTTGAGGGTTTTTATGTTATTGCTAAGGCTTTCAATTCCATATGAACATTCAGAGAAGCACTAATTTCAAACTTGATTTTTAACTTGAATGAACATTTTCCATAAAACAATTGGGGGGGATTCTAAACGTGTATAAACAGGATGGGAATAAGAAAAGGCTCACTCTGAACAGGTAGAATGCTGCTTAAGTTCCAATATTGCAAAGAGGATTATGAACTCATAATTGTCAAGAATACTCAGTACAATTATGAATTTTGGTGTCCATGCAGTATATAAACTGCACGGGTCAGGATCTCCAAAATTTTTAGACTTCAAGACAAAAAACATTATAACCATGTTGAATCCGCATAATGCTTGGTGTTGGCTACTAGTTCTGGGAAATACGCTTGGCTTTCTAGGTTTCCTTATTTACCTAGTTACATTCCAGGAGGCTCTACTGATTTGGCCAATAGTCTCAAACTGTTAGTAACTGGAGCTCGCCAAAAGACCGAGTTCATTATTGCAGTTTGTTCAACTCTTTCTTTGAAACTGTGGGGGCTCTGAAAAGAGCCTTTGGGTCTGAAGTTTCTTAAAGTTCTGATGGTTGTCAAATTACTTCCCCTTGGCCTTGTGGTGGCTCTCGGTCTTCTTGGGCAGCAGCACCGCCTGGATGTTGGGCAGGACGCCGCCCTGCGCGATCGTCACGCGGCCCAGCAGCTTGTTGAGCTCCTCGTCGTTGCGGATAGCCAGCTGCAGGTGGCGCGGGATGATGCGCGTCTTCTTGTTGTCGCGGGCCGCGTTGCCAGCCAGCTCCAGGATCTCGGCCGTCAGGTACTCCAGCACGGCCGCCAGGTACACCGGGGCGCCGGCGCCCACCCGCTCCGCGTAGTTGCCCTTGCGGAGGAGGCGGTGCACGCGGCCCACGGGGAACTGCAGGCCGGCCCGGGAGGAGCGGGTCTTGGCCTTGGCGCGAGCCTTGCCGCCCTGTTTGCCGCGTCCAGACATAGCAGAAAAAGTGAAAGACAATGACACAGCAAAATAAGCTTTGGAAATCCTAGTTACGGGGAGCCGATGAGAAGCTACTTATACTGGAAGCTGGAAGTGAAAATGTAAAATGTGATTGGTTAAAATAATCTTATTCACTGTAACCAATAAGAGAGGAGATATAATACGACCGAATTTACATAATTGTGTCACTGACCAGTTTTCAAATCATAGCTGAGTAATCTTGAAGCGCTCATTTGCATACAAAGTCTATAAAAGCCCAACCACTAGACCCCCGACTATGCTTACTTTTTACTCCTTTTAGTTTTTGCTGTTAGCTTTTGTTACAATGCCTGAACCTGCAAAGTCCGCACCCGCCCCGAAGAAGGGCTCCAAGAAGGCCGTGACCAAGGCACAGAAGAAGGACGGCAAGAAGCGCAAGCGCAGCCGCAAGGAGAGCTACTCGGTGTACGTGTACAAGGTGCTGAAGCAGGTCCACCCCGACACCGGCATCTCTTCCAAGGCCATGGGCATCATGAACTCGTTCGTCAACGACATCTTCGAGCGCATCGCGGGCGAGGCGTCGCGCCTGGCGCATTATAACAAGCGCTCGACCATCACGTCCCGGGAGATCCAGACAGCCGTGCGCCTGCTGCTGCCCGGGGAGCTGGCCAAGCACGCCGTGTCCGAGGGCACCAAGGCCGTCACCAAGTACACCAGCTCCAAGTGAGCGCGCCCGTCTCGCTCTTAAACCAAAGGCTCTTTTCAGAGCCACTAATTTTGTCATTTAAAGTGCTTGTGACGCCTGATTTCAGCTCATCTTAAACTAAGGCGCAAAATTGTACATTATTATGTAAGTAGATCTTTTTATTTTTTTGGTTTTTCGAGACAGGGTTTCTCTGTATCTTTGGAGCCTGGACTGGAACTAGCTCTGTAGACCAGGCGTGTCTCGAACTCAGAGATCCGCCTGCCTCTGTCTCCCGAGTGCTGGGATTAAAGGCGTGCGCCAGCATCCCCCGGCAGTAGATCTTTTTAAATACGGTAGTACTACCTAGCGTTTACTACAGCTTCTAATCCTACAGTATCACAGCTTTAGAGAACTTAGTTCCAATGCTTTAATCTGGTTTTCAGGAAATGCATGTGCAAGTTGTTAGACTAAAAAATGATGGGCTGTGTTTAAATGCACCATTGGCCACTAACAATTCCACACCATTAATGCTAATGTAATTCTAAAACTAATTAAATATATCTGTGGCTTTGGTAGCACTTCATTTACTACAAATCATTGAACCTATTATAAACGCGCATCTTTAATTTTGCCAAGAATTTTGTCATCAGTCTTGTTTTAAGTTTTAAGGGTACGGTTTAAAGATATCAGAAGTCAGGTAGCTACATTACTGGCATGGCAGTCGCTGCACAGCATCTTCATTCGCAATATGAGATTCTGAAAGCTTAATTTCTGTTGAGTTTCAGGAGTTTCCAAAGATAGACTAGATACTTTATTCTGTGACTACAGAAGGCAAAACAACCTATTTTTGTGTCTCTATGTCTTTTCAACTGACAATAAACTTATACTGTGTGTTTATCAGTTTAAGAGAATCTTTGACTTTTGACTATACATTTTCTAGACTGTGTGGTATGTGTATACCTTTAAATAGGTTTGTGCGCATGTGTGCGTATAGTTGCTGTCCCGAAACAAGCTTTTAGGAAATGCTAGCTTCTACCTTTTGAGTGCTAAGATTTTAAGAAATGGGCAGCTTCCTCCTTGCAATTTCACCAGCAAAGGTTAATGGGGATAAGAACCTGGTATATTCCCCTGCCCAGAACATCAGAAAAAGACAAACAAATGGAACTTTAGGCTAATAATAGGTTTCCCATTCTAACTAATAAGACTTGTATCTGTGATTAAATTCCTGTAACGTCAAGTAGTGCGACCATAGCTCTCTCTTTGAGAAGGTGGGTGGCTCTGAAAAGAGCCTTTGGGTTAAGGGTGAGGTCGGTGCGCTCACTTGGAGCTGGTGTACTTGGTGACAGCCTTGGTGCCCTCGGACACGGCGTGCTTGGCCAGCTCCCCGGGCAGCAGCAGGCGCACGGCCGTCTGGATCTCCCGGGACGTGATGGTCGAGCGCTTGTTGTAATGCGCCAGGCGCGACGCCTCGCCCGCGATGCGCTCAAAGATGTCGTTGACAAACGAGTTCATGATGCCCATGGCCTTGGAAGAGATGCCGGTGTCGGGGTGGACCTGCTTCAGCACCTTATACACGTACACCGAGTAGCTCTCCTTGCGGCTGCGCTTGCGCTTCTTGCCGTCCTTCTTCTGGGCCTTGGTCACGGCCTTCTTGGAGCCCTTCTTCGGGGCGGGTGCAGATTTCGCTGGCTCAGGCATGTTGCCCAGACGCTAACCTCGGAGTTAGAGTAAAGCACTGAAACATTCGATCATTCATTTATAGGACTTCTATGCAAATATGGTACGAAATCTGACAGATTCCCATTGGTGCATGGTAACGGAAGCTTCCGTTTATGCAAAATAGGCGCTCTGTGTCTGATTTTTAATTGGCTGAGTCTTTTAGGTTACTTTAGCCAATGAGTACCACAAATTACAATCTACTCTGCAAGTATAACTTGCACATTTTCAGAGACAAATTCATATTGTACTCGCAACCTTTCTAAGTATGTCTGGACGCGGCAAACAGGGCGGCAAGGCTCGCGCCAAGGCCAAGACCCGCTCCTCCCGGGCCGGCCTGCAGTTCCCCGTGGGCCGCGTGCACCGCCTCCTCCGCAAGGGCAACTACGCGGAGCGGGTGGGCGCCGGCGCCCCGGTGTACCTGGCGGCCGTGCTGGAGTACCTGACGGCCGAGATCCTGGAGCTGGCTGGCAACGCGGCCCGCGACAACAAGAAGACGCGCATCATCCCGCGCCACCTGCAGCTGGCTATCCGCAACGACGAGGAGCTCAACAAGCTGCTGGGCCGCGTGACGATCGCGCAGGGCGGCGTCCTGCCCAACATCCAGGCGGTGCTGCTGCCCAAGAAGACCGAGAGCCACCACAAGGCCAAGGGGAAATAAGCCCCGCTTTTTCACAGTGATCCTTAACCATAGAAACAAAGGCTCTTTTCAGAGCCACCTACTTTTTTCAGTAGAAAGTGCTGAAATACTATCGTAGCAAGAAGAAACTCCATTTTAAAATCGTCCTCTATCTAACCCAATGAGGGGTTGTTACTCAAAGTTGCTAAAGCCCGCAGAAATGGCATTTCCTTTCTATGTGATTTATGCACTTAAGAACAAAAGCACCGTGAAATGCGGTTCTGTGAAATGCTTTAAGATCGCCTTAGGACATTTTGGAATTGTGATAATTTGACAAGGGAAGTTCTGACAGTATAATTAAACCCAAAATATAAAAACAAAGCCCTACTAAAAATTTAAGGGGGTTTCCTTCTTTTTGGAAGTTTTCTGTTTTTGTATTGTCAAGACAGGGCCTTACCATATAGTTCTGGCTGTTCTAGAACTCACTTTACAATAGATCATGTTGACTCTGTCCTCCCTGTTGCTGCAATTAAAGGTGTGGACCACTATATGAGGCCAGTGGAGGGTTTGGGGTTTTAATTCAGAAAAAAAATTAAGAATTCAAAGCTGGTATTAAATAAAACTAAAGTTGACTTCGAATTTTTTAATTATTCAGTCTTGAATAATTCTTTTTCATCACTTTTGAAAGTTGGTTAATTCGAAGACTGGGACTGAAAAGTGGTAAGCATTAAGAGTATGGTTGGAGATGGCAAAGTACTGTCCAGCTGCTGCTTTTCTTTACTACTCATTGATTTATGTTGTATTTATTTATGTGACAGTGTGTGTGTGCGCGCCACGTGTTTGGTTCATTCGTGGGCTAGAAGTTTTCAGATGCCCTAGTGTTACTGTGTTAGAGTTGCATGTTCCTGTGAACTGGAATCCAGTTCAAGTCTTCCGGAGGAACAGCAAGTGTCCAAACAGCTAAAGCCATCTGTACAGCACCAACGTATAAATCTATTTTATCTATGTATTCATCCATCCAATCATATATTGATAATATCATTACAGCCCTGGCTGCCCTGAAACTTACCTTGCAGTCCTAATCAGCTTCAAATTCACAGCAATCCTTCTAGTTCAACCAACTTTGCTCTGGGAATACAGGCATAGCTGAGGGTTAAATATACAGACAGGGCCAGAGGTGTGACTGAAGTGGTTTCTAGGGGCTGGTTAGGAAAGACACCAGTGGACAATGATAGCTTCAGTGCTCATAAACCTCAAAAGCTTTACAACTGGATCATTGGTAAACTCTAGGAAAAGCAAAGGAAACAACTTGTAATGGAATTTCAATCCAGCAGGTAGACCTTGGTAGCCTGCACAGTAAAGGCCCACCTTTTGTCAAAGAAAGCAAAATAACCCCACAAAAAGAAAAAACAACTGCGCCTTTACAACAGTTCCTCAGATACGAAATACAAACAATGAAGCAAGTTCCAAGTACATAAGCAATCTTTGTCCTGTGTACTTCCTGAGGAAAGCACTAGAAAGTTCTACATAGCGTGTTCTTTAACACAGATAATCAAGGATATGTGTAATTGGCAGAGGAGTTGAAATACGGTCAAACAAATATTTATCAGAAATTGCTACTGCCTTGTGGCCTAGTTATATTGCAATCTTTGAGTTATTTTTTTCTATGTGACAAAGATAATTGTGGGTTTGTTTGTGTTGTGATTTATTTATTTTTATTTATTTATTTATTTATTTAAGGATTTCTGCCTCCTCCCCGCCACTGCCTCCCATTTCCCTCCCCCTCCCCCGAATAATTGTGTTTTTTAATGGAAAAATAATCCATTCCCTTTGTAATGAAGGCCAGGATCTTTGTAGTGAAGGTGTAAATGCACAGACATGGAGCCTTAGCAAACCAATGAAACCATGAGTCCCTAAAATCATCTTGAAACCATCAGCAAATCTTGCATGCGACAATGGTCCACAATGACCTTAATTCCAAGAGTCACATATTTCTCAACAGAACATACAGCTGCTCCTTGTGACCCTAAGTCCCTTTCTTGATGTCCTCAAGAAGCCTCCATCAGGTGAAGAATCAACTTTCCTATCTGCATTTCCTCCTTCCCCTCTTGCAAAAATGACAGCGGAGCACATAGGAGGGAGGTTACTAGTGTCCAGTTTCCAGAACTAAGCAACATGGAAAGACTAGAACCTTCGTAGTCTTCTTGTTGCCTTCAATGTCAATGGTATATTTCTTTAACTCGTTATTTTAAATGGGTAAGAACTGAGGTAGAAGAAAATAGGAACCTCACCCTTACCTGCCTAATCCTCATGTACATCTCTTGTTGAATGAAGACTGTTAACGTGGTTGATTAGAGACTGCCCAAACCTCAGACAACACAGAAAATATAGGAACAGTATTAAGATCACTTGTGACCCGTTCTCAGGATGGAAATGTGTTTTGACCTCACCCATACATAGCCTTGTATACAAAAATTTCTTTGTTTGGGGGGGGGGGGGGGTTGTTTTCTTTTGTTTGTTTAGTTGTTTGGTTTGGTTTGAAACGGGATTTCTCTGAGTAGCCTTGGCTGTCTTACAACTCATTTTGTAGACCAGGCTATCCTCAAACTCAGAGCTCCGCCTGCCTTCACCTCCCGAGTACTGGGATTAAAGATGTGCACATCACCATTGCAGGGCTACTTTCTAATTTTCATTCCTGTTTTTGCCTTGACTGTTTTCACCATTTCCAAGCCTGTACAGTAATTCATAGATAACCTTATAATTAATTGATCTCTAAAGTAGAAATCAAAGAGTATATGTACTTAGTTTGTTCTTAAATTAATTTTCATAGTATTAGGCCATCCAGTGACAAATCATTCCTCACACTTAGAGATTACTAAAGGGGAAGAAACTCCCTCCCTAATACATATGCATGTGTCCAGCTCTGGAGAATGATGCTGGCCATCAGCAGAAGACTTTCCTAATTTCCATACACGTTAGAGTTATGCATTCCACACTTTGTCATCCCTAGCTTTCTGTCATGCCCCAGCCTCAGATTACACTTTGAACAAATTAAACAGAGGCAGGAGACTGCAAATCTGGCCACTTGGGCAGATAGGAGATTTAGAGCAAAGATGTTGCCAGAATTATTTCTGAAGTACACGGTTGTTGTGTTCTTGTTGAATAGTTGTTCCCCAGGTTCTTCTCCACCTGCCAGAATTACACTTTTTCTAGCAAGAGTTTAGGGGCAGGCTGGGACTGAAGGGTGGTGTGATTCTGCACTGCCCCCTAGAGCTGCAGCAGGAGCGTTGCGACTGGCTGGATAGTCTTTTGTTATGGAAATAAAACATAATTGGAGGTGAATCTTCATAAACAAACAAACATTAGCATCCAAGTAACTTTTGCTTCTCTCTGATAGGCCTGGTTAACACGTTGCTTATCTCTGGAGGCAGTGCTGCCTTAGTTAAATTCTATTTTGTGTGACTTAACGTCTCCCTCCTAAGCAATTCTATTAGCAAATCTATTAGCAAATCCTTTAAGCATCATTTGAAACACGTTGATTTCTTCTTCATCACATCAGTGAAAGTAGTAAAAGCTATGAAGGTCTTAAATCATTTCAAAAAAAATGAATTGTTGTAAAGAATTTTTTAAGCAAGGAAAAAAGGTTGCTACCATGAAGTGAAACAAAATTATTATTCAGAAGCCAATCGTCTTTGACGTTCTTACTTTTTATTGTTACATTTTCATTAATGTATTTCGTGCTGTAACCACCCACAAAAGATGACCATGATATGATGATTAGGGGACAACCTGCATGATTCTCTTCTCTTGCACCAGAAACCTTCCATAGGCTTAGACTAAGCTCCTTGGGTTGGATGCCATGATCCCACCTGAAGAGTCAACTTGCCAGCTATGCTCTTTGGAGGCTGTGCATCCCACTAATCACAAATAACTCTCATTGCTACACAGTTAAAACACTAGAGTTAAAAAGTGATTCAATGTTTGATTATATCAATAGTAAAGACAAAAATGAGGATGTATGTTTCTATACAATACAATTGTGGCCTTATCCATTCCATGCTATTCAACAGAGCCCTCCACAGTTCCCTGTTTTGAAGTTTTTGTTGAAACTGTACATTTTTACTAGGGGAAAAAAAAAAAGACAGTAACATAAAATGTCTGAATCGTCCTGTAATTGTAACTGGGCGGTGGGGTGGGGGGAGACAAAGTGCAGAGAATTGTGATCTGGTCAATGTCCATGTGTGTATCCACAACTTCACAGTCTTCCAGCAGCCTCCTGCCCCTTCCTACACATTTCTGCAATGTTTAGAATTACTGTACTTAGGCTCAACCTTTTGAAACCACCGAGGCTAGGTGTAGGAACGGTAAAATGCTCCCTGAAAAAAAAAAAGATTCAATGTCTGTTTCTCTGATAGTCTCATGAATCTAGTTTTCACTCCTGGGCATCGACTTTAGCAATTCATCAAATAGTAGATAATCTTGCTGTTCATTCATCCCAGACCCTGGTTTTCTTATCTCTGAGTTTCTAGATCTTTGCCAAACGTTCAAAAATAAATGGTTCTATGGCTTTTGCCCTATTCAAGAAACAACTATGGTCTTACACACTTATTTCTTCTGTCTATAATCAATGAAACATACAGTGTTTGCATATAAAGAGATACAAAAGACTAGGTTACACCAATTTCTTAAAGAATCCATTTTAGGATCCTTTAAGATGGTTTCAGATGGCTAAAAAAAAAATGGTTCAGTGGTTAAGAGCATATGTTCTTGGAGATAATCAGTTTGAATACTAGTTACTGCCTGTAACTCCAGGGCCAAGGGACCTAACAGCTTCTTCTGGACTTCACAGGCACCTTCAAAACATGTACACACACACACACACACACACACACACACTTTGTTTTTTTTTAAATATTTATTTATTTACTATGTATACAATATTCTGTCTGTGTGTATGTCTGCAGGCCAGAAGAGGGCACCAGACCTCATTACAGATGGTTGTGAGCCACCATGTGGTTGCCGGGAATTGAACTCAGGACCTTTGGAAGAGCAGGCAATGCTCTTAACCACTGAGCCATCTCTCCAGCCACACACACACACACACACACACACACACACACACACACACACACTTTAAAAATAAATCTAAAACTATTAATAATGACTTTGCCTGCAATCCCACCACACAGAAGGATGAAAGAAGTAAAGGACCTCTTAGGTTCGGCAATGAGATTTACAATGAATATCTATCTTGTGGACATTCTATATTTAAAGAATTCAAATATTAATAAATGTCCTTGATACTACATCTCTTCATGTCTTGATAAACAAGTATATGGTTAGGATCTACCCTTCATTTTCCAACAAAATTGGTATGTTTAAGAGTACTTACCTAGTGTGTATCTTTAAGAGTAGACTGCAGAGTCCCCAGGAACTTTCGGGTCTTTTTTCATACTATAGCCATGTCAGTTTGATTGAACATGCTCCAGAGACCTTTCAAAGAGAAATTAGGCACCCAAGCATTTCAGGTACGCATTTCAAACACACCACAAGACATAATTGCATGTACTTAATCACAAACCTTAGGCAAATCAAATGTTCAAGACACATGTTAGCTGGCTAAGTACAATGGCTTCAGTGCTGGGTTGACCAGAAACCTGTAATACACTAGAGAAGGATGACTAACATTAGGAAAAGGAGCAGGGGGTGGAGAGATGATTCAAGAATTAAGAGTACTGACTGCTCTTCCAGAGATCTGAGGTTAAATTTCCACCACTACATGGCAGTCAACTGCTGGCTATAACCCCATTCCAGGGAATCTGACACCTTCTCTTGGCTTCTATCAAGGATTGTATGTAAATGACATGCAACCAAAACACCCAGACATATAAGCCCATCTCCAGCCTCATCAAGGAGGAGACCACCCCTCCCCCCAGTGGTGCTGAATATATTCCTGGAGAAAATATCTGGGACTCTGTCACCTACAGGTAGCGCTCCAAGCACAAGACCCACATGGCCATAGACATGATCTATGCGCTCAAGTTCCAGGATGGTAGGTTCTTTGACTTGGGCAGCCAAGTCTGGCTCTTACTAATTCCAATGGACATTTTAACATCCCAGGCCCTTTTCAGGACCTCCTAATCCTTTGAATTAGTCTGTATCACCTGAGAGTCTCTGCCAGGGACCTTAATGAGTAGTCGAATCTCTTTGCTACTTTGTTATTAGTACAGAGTAATGTGATTTCCCATTCAGACCTTGTATAAGAAACTGAGACCGCTCTGGGAGGTTAATATGATACCTGTGTCATCTCAAAAAAGTAGTCATTGGGCTTGGTGGCCATTCCCTTTAATCATTCCCGCACTCAGGAAGAAGAGACAAGGGAATCTCTGTGAATTTGATGCCAGCTAAGGCTATATGGCAAAACCTGTCAAAAACAAGAGGGTGGGGAAGTTTGGGTGTTTTTAAAGTTAAAAGAAAAGTGTGTCCTCAGATAGAAGACACAGTGGGTTTGAAAGACAACAAAGTCTATATTACTTTGTTTTATAAAGTGGTGTTTTGTAGCCTCTAAATTGTAAATTGCTGCTAAATGAACGCCTGACCCCCCCCCCCAAAAAAAAAAAACATGGACCAAAAGCAAGCCCATGATTCTAGGAAATCTGCTGTGCAGAACGCAGGTGAGCCTCACCACCAGGCCCAGAGCCCTGAACTTCAAAAACTAGCCAATTAATTCAGCTCCCACACCACAGACTCAAAAACCAGATTATTCAGAAAAACAGCTTCTAGGTCTGGTGAAGCCATAAACCTCTGCCCTCAACTACAAACACTGCTATCCGATTCTGTCTGAAAATTATCCAAACCCTGGATGATGTGCCTCTAGGTATCGGGCGGGACCCAGGTCTTAGACCCTTGTCACTGTTGAGGTCCAGTAGCATTTTTATTCTATTTGTCTCGCTCTGCCCATGCAATTGTTACATTTTTCCTTACAAACGTTAGAGAATGAGCTTTTAGATTTTACTGTTTATAAACTGCTACAATTAATATCTCAAGACTATAGCATTTATACTAGAGAATAATTGTCCATTAAGATGTCTGCAAATACATTTTTTTTTCAGATCACTCCTTCTTTAAGTTCCTTATTAAAAGTTCATCTCAAGGATGTGGGGCTGTTTTTCCACATGGTCTCCCTGTGTTGCACTGGTTGGCCGATTACATCCCAGCCATTCATACACCTGAGTAGCCCAGGCTTGTCTGGAGCTCCAGATGCCTCTGCTTCAGTCTTCAGAGTACTGGGATCCCAGACCTCCAGCACATCTAGTGTTTTGGGTTTTGGGTTTTTGTTTTGTTCTTTTGTATAGAACCAAAACTAGAGAGGGAACAGGCCAGACATAATCCTTTGAGGACTCAGTCACAGGCTTTCTGGTTTTATTACTAGAAAAGTAAAATAAAAATAATTTTAAAACATTTTATCCGGGGCTGGAGAAATGGCTCAGTGGTTAAGAGCACTGACTGCTCTTCCAGAGGACCAGGGTTCAATTCCCAGCACCCACATGACAGCTCACAACTGTCTGAAAATCCAGTTCCAGGGGATCTGACACCTTCACACCAATGCACATAAAAAAAAAAAAAGAAAGAAATTAAAAAAAGAAAGTAAATTAGGTGTAAAACTTTAAAAAAAAAAAAAAGTCTTATCCTTAAGTCTGGCTTCACTATCCAAGCCCCAAATAGGAAATTTGCTATGTTTTTAGTGGACACTTAAAAAGTAAAAGTTGTTGGGTCTGGAAAAATGGCACACTACAGTTAAGATTACTTACTGCCTTTCCCGAGGAAGGGGTTCAATTCCTATAACTGACAGGCAGCTGACAATCATCTGTAACTCTAGTCCCAGTCGTATGACGCCCTCTTCTGGCCTCCAAGATCACTGCATGCACGTGGTATACACACATAAACGTGCTGGGAAAGCACGGATCCACAAACAGAAAAAGAGAAAGGAAACAGCAGCTTTAAGAAGCTCACCTTAGCCAGGCTTGTAAATCTTTCCAATAAATTCCCTTTGTTGGCGGGCTGTGGTGATGCGCGCCTTTAATCCCAACAGTTGGAGGCAGGGGCAGGTGGATCTCTGTGAGTTCAAGGCCAGCCTGAACTACTAGAGACTAGTTCCAGGACTGGCTCCAAAGCTACAGACAAACTCTGTCTTGAAAAACTAATAAATTAATTAATTAATTCCCTTTGTATATGCACACACACACACACACACACACACACACACATTTCCCAGTCCATAAGTTCCATGACGATAGAGAACCATGACTAGCCCACTGTGTCTTTCAAAATGTTGATTAATTCAATTAATTAAAAAACATGAGTGTGTTGAGACAAGGAATGGGCTCCAGATATTTTGAGATGCTTTTAAATGGTTTTCTCTCAAAACCTTGTATAATATATAGATAGGTGGGAAAAAAAATCCACAGTGACCTAATTCCCCCAGGCTTTCAGCTGCGTTCACTGTGACAATGATTCTCAAAGAAAGACCCATCAATATGTTTTCCACGGCTTGGGGGCTCTCAGAAATCAAGACTGGCAAGAGACCTAAGTGAATATTTACCGATTTTAACCAAGCAGTTGAATTTGAAAGCATAAGAAGGGAGTGGATTTGGTTAAGGTAAGTCACTAAACTGGCACAGCAGCTGGGAAGATTCAGTGCATATTAGGTCACAAGGCTTTTTGTTTGCATTCCATATCTCCCGTGGTAAATGTCGCTTTCCCTTGATGGAGAGACTGCGTTTTCTGTGGGCTTGAGGTGGATGTTCTTTCCTGCTTGGAGCAGTCAAGGTGAGCTTCTTTTTTGAGACAGGGTTTCTGTGTAGCTTTAGAGCCTGTCCTGGAACTCACTCTTGTAGACCAGGCTGGCCTCGAACTCACAGAGATCCGCCCGCCTCTGCCTCCCAATTGCTGGGATTAAAGGCGTGCATATCACCACAGCCCGGAAACAAAGGGAATTTATTGGAAAGATTTACAGGCTGTAGTCCAACTAATCCAACAATGGCTAGACTTGCTGTGAATAGAAAGTCCAAGAATGTACTAGTTGCTCAGTCGCACAGAGCTGGGTGTCTCCGCAGGGCTTCTGTTTATGCTGGAATACCGAAGAAGTCAGCTCCACGGCCAGTGAAGGAGGACTGATTTAGCTGAAAGGGCAAGGGAAAGCAAAGACGCAACTGAACCCCTCCGTCTTCCATTGTCCAGCAGAAGGTGTGACTCAGATTAAAGGTGTTACCTTCCTGCCTCAAGACTTGGATTAAAGGGGTGTGTCGTCCTGACTCAAGATCTAGACAAGCGTGCCCTCCATTTCTGGACCAATTCATTCAGGTATAGTCATTTGATGAGCAGGAATAGCCATCATACATAGTAGTATGGGTAAAGTCTCTTGCATGTCTTCTTGCAGTGCTTCCCCTGAAGGCTACTCCTCCTAGGGGGTCAATCTTATATGACCTTAAGGTCAACTCGATCTATACATTATGTTCACTTGGAGAGTTCAACAAAGATAAAATGCAAATAATTTAGCATATAAAATTTGTACAATAACCATCTGACATAGGAAGACCAATTGCCTATTGTTATCTATAAACCTTGAGGTGCCTCTACTTAACACTTTACAAGAAAACGAAGCCACTCTTCGAGAATTCTAATCAAATGCAGGCTATTTAGGCTTCTTCAGGAAAATAGCTTTAAGGTGCATTCACAGATTTGGATGAACACAAGCAGCTGTAGCAAGGAGCACAGAAAAACAGGGCCTTATGTATGGTTTCTGGTTTGTGTATTCCTCCCATACATAGTTAATTACAATGCGGTTGGATATTTTATATTGTTAGGCAGTGTCTGCTGGAATGAGAGAAAGGAGGAAAGAAGGGGCAACAGGAGAGAGATATGCTCAGCTCCTAACCTAGACAGAAATGGCAAGACATTACACATACATCAACAAACCCCTGTGGCTGTCTCCTGTTTTTCTCCTACCCTTCTAGGGCCCTCTCCTACACCTACCACACCAACAGTTCTGGGGGAAAAAATGAGAATACCAAGTGCATTACTTCACTTAGAATGTGCAAAATGATCCTGGTCCAGTAGAGTAGACAGGAACCCTCGACCCTGATGTATTCCTACAAAGATCAGTTGAAACCACAACCAGAGACATAGAAACTAGAAGGCAGTGCATCTGTATGCTTTAAAGCCACTGAATTTTCCGAAGCCTGTCATGCAAAAATTGAGAATATAATGGGCTACCATACTCTCTAAAAAATTATCAACTTAATCAAATCGCCAGCTAAGTGAAGGAAGGGTTACAGGGAAAAAAGGAAACAACCAACTATTATGTAAAATTTTTATCACACTCCAGATATATTCACTTTGGAACTAGTATGAACACGTGTTGGTTGGTGATTATTTTACGAGCACGTTTTTAAGCCTTGACATCTATTCAACCACAATTTACCAAAGGTCATTCCATCTTGTTTAAAAAAAAAAATGTGCTTCAAAGTAAGCATGTCTTCGAGCACTAGCTGTGGTAAAACGCTTAGAACGTAAAATCGTAGATCTTTGAAAAGGCCAAAGTGGAGTGAGGGGGATTGGGAGGGACAGCAGACCAGAGCCCTGACAGCAACCAGACCTTAGTTTCTCTTCATTACAATGAGACAGAGCTGAGCAAGCAGGTGTCATGAAAACCACAACTTATGGGTGACAATCAGCAAACACCCCCATAAATCCATCTCAGCCGACCCAAAATCCCTTCTGCTAGCTCAGCAAGCCCTCAAAGCCCTTCTGCTAGCTCAGATGTCCCTCCCCCCCACTCCTCACCCCCCACCCCCGCCCCTGGACTTCTGCAGGCTAAAGATTGCTTTCCCTACCCTGCTGCTGGAAGGTCCCTAACCAGTCGGTCCTTTCACCAGTCAGCCCCAGATTAATCCCTCCTCTCTGGAATTCCCCTAACTCCGCTTTTTAAAAGAAACTTGTGACCTTCTCTGGGGGTTGCCACGTGCCACCCTAACGTTGGAATTAACAAAACGCTCTCGTTACTGCATACGTGGTTGCTGGTGTTCTTTGTAAGCTTCTCTCGGACTTTAACATCTTTGCTTTGGATCTAGTAAACTGAGCAACATGCTGCCGAATTGAAAAGTATTGAGACTCTTTCCAAATTTACTGTGCAATGCAGGGATATGTAAACGAGGAGTTACCGATCTAAACTCTGATTGGACCGAAAAAGACAGTAGACTAAAGAGTGTAAAAAAAAAAATTCTAAAACCTTGTGAGGGGGTTAAAGAATTGACTATTTTGCAGATCTAGGTTGCTTCGCAACTCTAAGTCGTAATTTTGTATCCTAAGAGTTCTTTTTACAATTACTATTACACGTCTATATCGTAATTTGAAAATAAGTTGTAACTCCCTTGTTTACCTGAAATTAAGGAAAGGAACTCTAACGTGAGTAGGAGCAAACGATTAGCTCTGTCCCGGAGCTTCAGATCTCCGCGGAAGGAAATTCCGCGGAATTTCTTTATACGGTCACAAAGAACCTCCTGAAACCCCGCTCCGCCATCTTTTCGGAGGCTTTAGACTGGAGATGCTTTCGCGCTATGCCCCAACACATTTTTTAAATTGACAGCAACTGTGCTGACGTATCTCGAAGGAAACTTAACTTATATTCTTAAGTCAGAAGAAACTACATTCTGACAATTTCTGTGGCGACACCAACACGTGTAAAACGTGGCAAGTATTTCTTGAGCTGAGCATGGTTCCGGGATCCTATGGGTGGAAAGCAGAACCTCAGGCATGTGGTTATCGCCGCCAAATAAAGGATATGAGCAATTTTGAAATATGTGTATGAAAATAACAACTGGAGATTATTAGGCAGAAAAATGGCAGAGTTAAGAAAAGTGGCTAGGCTAAAACTACGTTCGTCAGTGAAGAGCATACAAGCTTAGTTTTCTTTTTTAAAAAAAAAGACTGATTGTTTAAGGGGGCGGGCTTATCATTGGAATGTAGCAATCACAAGAATTGGCCAATCGTCAATCCCTAGAAGCACTTCCGCAAACTCCGACGGAAGCCTGAGAGCTGCTGGACGAGAGCCAATCAGAGAAACGCGTTTCCTGTATAAATACCAGGGCCGCGCACTCTTCCTCCCGCTTCTTGATCACGATGGCTCGCACAAAGCAGACAGCTCGCAAGTCCACCGGCGGCAAGGCCCCGCGCAAGCAGCTGGCCACCAAGGCCGCCCGCAAGAGCGCCCCGGCCACCGGCGGCGTGAAGAAGCCCCACCGCTACCGGCCCGGCACCGTGGCGCTGCGCGAGATCCGGCGCTACCAGAAGTCGACCGAGCTGCTGATCCGCAAGCTGCCGTTCCAGCGTCTGGTGCGCGAGATCGCGCAGGACTTCAAGACCGACCTGCGCTTCCAGAGCTCTGCCGTCATGGCTCTGCAGGAGGCCAGCGAGGCCTACCTGGTAGGTCTGTTTGAGGACACCAACCTGTGCGCCATCCACGCCAAGCGCGTCACCATCATGCCCAAGGACATCCAGCTGGCCCGCCGCATCCGCGGGGAGAGGGCTTGAGCACATTTCCCACATTGGCACGTGATCAACTAAAAAGGCTCTTTTAAGAGCCAACTCCCATTATCTGCAAAAGGTGCTGTAGTGCCTGTGAGCCTTAGACAGGACTTAGTCGGGTATCTCCGTATTTCGTACCTTTTCTTAAGCTACAAGAACACTTAGGCTGTATATCAGGATGCCCTGTACCTGCTATTCAAAGTGAAAGTTGAAATAAGTCAGAAAAGGTGCCCACAGCAGTTTTGTAATTTCATTGGTCTTTTCTGTCTGAGGGTTTGGATCCTGAAGTTTCCGTTAAGATGGCAGGTGGGTCTTGGAGTCGTCCTGAAGCACATTTTTTTTTTTAAACAAGATGAAATGACCTTTTGTAAATTGTTAATTTGTTAATTCCAACGTTAGGGTGGCACGTGGCAACCCCCAGAGAAGGTCACAAGTTTCTTTTAAAAAGCGGAGTTAGGGGAATTCCAGAGAGGAGGGATTAATCTGGGGCTGACTGGTGAAAGGACCGACTGGTTAGGGACCTTCCAGCAGCAGGGTAGGGAAAGCAATCTTTAGCCTGCAGAAGTCCAGGGGCGGGGGTGGGGGGTGAGGAGTGGGGGGGAGGGACATCTGAGCTAGCAGAAGGGCTTTGAGGGCTTGCTGAGCTAGCAGAAGGGATTTTGGGTCGGCTGAGATGGATTTATGGGGGTGTTTGCTGATTGTCACCCATAAGTTGTGGTTTTCATGACACCTGCTTGCTCAGCTCTGTCTCATTGTAATGAAGAGAAACTAAGGTCTGGTTGCTGTCAGGGCTCTGGTCTGCTGTCCCTCCCAATCCCCCTCACTCCACTTTGGCCTTTTCAAAGATCTACGATTTTACGTTCTAAGCGTTTTACCACAGCTAGTGCTCGAAGACATGCTTACTTTGAAGCACATTTTTTTTTTTTAAACAAGATGGAATGACCTTTGGTAAATTGTGGTTGAATAGATGTCAAGGCTTAAAAACGTGCTCGTAAAATAATCACCAACCAACACGTGTTCATACTAGTTCCAAAGTGAATATATCTGGAGTGTGATAAAAATTTTACATAATAGTTGGTTGTTTCCTTTTTTCCCTGTAACCCTTCCTTCACTTAGCTGGCGATTTGATTAAGTTGATAATTTTTTAGAGAGTATGGTAGCCCATTATATTCTCAATTTTTGCATGACAGGCTTCGGAAAATTCAGTGGCTTTAAAGCATAAATTTTTATCCTGTCCTTTTTTCATTTTGAGGCAGTCTTCCCCCCCCTGTACTCCCCCACACACACTCTGCCTCCCAAAGACACGGTTTCTCTATGTAACAGCCCTGGCTGTCCTGAAATTTACTCTGTAGACCTGGCTGGCCTCAAACTCATGCGATCCTCCTGCATCAGCCTCAGGAGTGCTGGTTTTATTTTTAAATTTTTTTTTTGAAACCAAAACATTTATGTTATGACAGATTGAAATCCTCAAGATGAACTGGATGCTGCAACAGCTGCCCTCTTGGGCATACATGTGGATCTTGAAAATTATATATATCTTTTATTAAACTCAAAATGACTAGTAACATAAAGACATTTTTAAAGTATCTAAATACCTCATGTTGGGGTTGGAGGGTTAATAACACTTGGTTACTTTATTTTCAACATGTAGTAATATAAAAATGGATCTTTAAAAGTTTTCTCCAGGTTTTCACACTGTGGGTTTAAATTCTAATTTAAAAATAAAAAATTTGAAATGGTTAGTACTTCCAACTCTAAATATTTCCTCCCACATTGAAATGTGTAAAACTAATAACCATATCTAGGCTGTTGATTGGCGCACACAACACTGCATACGATCTGATACTTATCCAAAAGATGACCATCAGTGGGGCATTCACCAAGAAATACATAATGTTGTATGGTCACTTCAGGCTTACAGGCATTTTTTTTATTCAAAATACCCCAACATTAAAGTGTCAGAAGATGTGAAAAATGGAAGATACCTGTACTCCCAGAACCTGAGAAATGGAGGGAGGATAAAAATTCATGGCTATTCTTAGCTATATAATGAGTTTAAGACTATCATGGGATAAGTGACAAAGACCTGTCTCAGAAACTCAAAACTGGGCTTTGTCATGGTGGAACACACCTTTAAACCCCAGAACTGGCAAGCAAAGGCAGAACAATCTCTATGAGTCAGCCTAGTCTCTATCAGGTGATACATACAGGCAAGGTTAGGAAACATAGTGAGACCCTGCCTCGAATTAAAATAAAATATAACATTTTTTCCTCCGAGACAGGATTTCTTTGTAGCTTTGAAGCCTATGCAGGAACTAGCTCTTGTAGACGAGGCTGGCCTTGAACTCACGGAGATCTGCTTGCCTCTGCCTCCCAAGTGCTGCGATTAAAAATGTGCACCACCACCTTAGAACAAAAGATTTTAAGTCAAAGTAATATAATGAATTAAGTATGAGCTTCAGAAATAAAAGTTCTTACCTGCGGTTCTCCTCTCTACCTCCTCCTAAGACAATGGTTAGGAAATAGGATCTACCTTCCCCAGTGTGGGACCTGCAGCCCCGAGTTGATATCCCTGCCCCCATTTGAAGTGCTTATCTGCAAGGAAAATATAATAAATTCCCTCTGCTCCTGGAGCCGGAAAGGAAGGAATTTTGAGTGCATGGTGACCTTTCCTTGATCCCTGCCAGGGTCAGGTTACAGTCCCTTCGCAGCCCCCTCCTCATTTGGTGCCATGGTATAAAAGCCAGCCCAGCAAGAGAATAAAGGGAGAAGCTGTTTCACCTCAACCTCATGCTCTGGGTCTTCTATTCAACCTGGACGCTCTCCGCTGAGACTCTTGGTTCCAGCCCGCGCTGGCGTGGCACCCCAGTGTAGGAAAACGAGAGCTAGTTCATGCAAAGTAAGCAATAATTACTAAACATCATCTTCACCAACCTTTTAATCTTGCAGCTAACAAGACTACTAATGATGAGGATGATAATGATAATTTTAAAAATCCGCAAATCGGGCTGGAGAGATGGCTAAGAGGCTAAGAGCATTGCCTGCTCTTCCAAAGGTCCAGAGTTCAATTCCCAGCAACCACATGGTGGCTCACAACAATCTATAATGGGGTCTGGTGCCCTCTTCTGGCCTGCGGTCTTACACACAGACAGAATATTGTATACATGATAAATAAATAAATAAATAAATATTTTTAAAAAAAAAAATCCGCAAATCTTATTTGTCCAAAAGTCGATCACAACACAGCATCATTCTTTATGAAGTTCTGCCCAGCCCCAGAAAGAAGGCTGCCACGTGGAGGCAAAAAAGAATGAGGAAGCCGGGCGGTGGTGGCACACATCTTTAATCCCAGCACTCGGGAGGCAGAGGCAGGCGGATCTCTGTGAGTTCGAGGCCAGCCTGGTCTACAAGAGCTAGTTCCAGGACAGGAACCAAAAGCTACGGAGAAACCCTGTCTCGAAAAAAATCAAAAAAAAAAAAAAAAAAAAGAATGAGGAAGAGGCCTGGCTGGGTTTCCTTACATAGCACACCAGAAGCCATTCATATGCTTTCCCTCCGATCGTATTTCTACACAGTGGTGCCTGGTAGTGCTCTCCTCCTCTCGCTGTAGCAGGAGCAGGTGTTCAAAAACACCAGAAGCCCGAGACATTCCTCCTGAGCCCATCATTTGGGTGGCACCTAGGTAACTAAGCAAACAAATCATTAGCCATGTCTGTATGTACTTTCCTTCCACCGGATTAAAGTTTAAAGTGGTCTTAAAACGGAGAACATGCAGTTCCATATAATTGTGTCCCTAGCAGTGGCTTATTACTGACGAATGAAATGTGGTAATTACCCATGGGTTGGACCCAAAGGCTCCTGTGCTATGTAAAACTACATACAAGCTACTTCATTTTTTACATCTCCTTTATTAATAGAGTATTTTATATGGCCATGATGGATTTTTTTAAAAAGCCTACTGGGTAATCCATAAATAGGCAGAAATTTTATCTTACAGAAATGGTAAGCAAAATACAAGAAAATTCAGATATACTCTTTAATTATTTTGTTTCCACATTCTAATGCTTTCACACATTGTAAATATTGACATATCACATATGGGCATTTCTCTATTTTGTAGATTTCCCTTAAATTTGGAGTTACATGCTTCAGCAGAAAAGGGAGTAGATAATAATCGAGGCCATAAAGAAAAGGGTCAGAAAAATATCCCCATTGTGTTCACATACATTTTAATATAGATTGATATATGTAATTAAAATCTCTAAATCCAATTGATATCATACAGTATTCTACTCAGTTCATGGGACTTTATAAATTCAATCAAATGCACATTCACAGAGGGAAACGAGTAAAGAAAGATGGGCCTACCTCTGTCTCCTGAGCGGTGGATTAAAGGATATGAACAGGGCCATGGGCATTTCCACTGGGTCTCGTCCCGCTGAACGCTTGCTCAACAGTCCACAACTTCGAATGGCTGTGAAACAAGAGTTTCTCTGGCTTTAGAGCCTGTCCTGGAACTGCTCTTATAGACGAGGCTGGCCTCGAACTCACAGAGATTCCCCTGCCTCTGCCTCCCGAGTGCTGGGATTAAAGGAGAGCACCACGACTACCCAGATAAACATACATTCTGAAAAGCAATGATTTTTAAGTACTTAAAGTATGCAAAATAAGAAAAATTGTCACTAGCCTTTATTTTAATCAGGTTTGCAAACTTGGTCTCTCTGCAAGTCCAACATATTGGAATAACCAGAGAAACAGGGCTCGATTAGAATTGGGTTTTTATAGTAGTAAAGGTGGGGGTGAGGGGCTTCTGAGGTTCAGGAGCTCTGATTGGCTGACATCTATCTAGGGGTGTCCTGGCAAATATGTGCTGGCACGTGATCCTATCCACAAAGGTTGGAATGCCAAACATTTCCTTTGCTTTGTGTGTTCTTGGGTGGAGGTCGG